ACCGGCCCTCGGCCTCGGCGCCGCGGTCTAGCCCGCCCCGGTCCCGCACCCTCTGCGCGCCCCGCCGCCGTGACCGGTCCGCTCGCTCTCTCCCTCCCCGCCTTCCGCCCGCCCGCTCTTTCCACACCCCTCGCCTTGCTTTCGCTTTTTCGAGAACCTTCTCCCCTTCTCCTCCAGATCCTTGCCCCCGCCGCCTCCCCCTAGGGGCGCGCCGACAGCCCGGCCTGGCTCCCTGTCCCTCCCGCCCCTCTCCGCCCTTCCCTTGCTCTCCCTCCTGTCCTCGTCTAATTGTGCTTTTCGGTTTTTTCCATTTTTCCTCTAAGCTTGTGCCAGAGACAGAGGGGAAGTGGGAAGTCACCCCCAAGACATGGCCACACCGCAGTCCCTCCGCCAGTCCCCTCGGGATTCGGGGCACACAGGCCGGTGTGACATTGGAGCGGTGGGAGCCAGGGCCGAGCCATGCGTCGGGGCCCCAGCCACAGGACCTCTGCCACCTGCTGGCCTTGTCTCTCCTTGCTGTTTTCCTCTTGGCCCCTCCTGCCTCCCTCCTGCCAGCTCTCTCCCACTGCCCCTGCCTCCTGCCTGCTGTCCCCAGGGCCGTGCCCCACCCTCAGCCCCGGACCCCCTGGACGGCGGTGGCCCTGTTTTCTGGTGGTCCTCTGCCTTTCATTTCCCTTGACCTTTCCCCTCCTGTCTGTGACCCCACATCAGTCCTAAACTGGGGGCCCACCTGGTGGCCTCTGTCCTCTGTCCTGTCCTGGCCAAGGCCCCTTGATGGCCCCAGGGGCAGGGTGGCCCCCCACGGGATCTTTATCAGCCTCAGATGGGGTCCTGCAGGGTGTCCACCGTGTCCACCAGCGCCAGGTCCTGGGACAGCAGGCTGGCGAGGTTGGGACACAGATGTCTGCTCACGACTTGAGAGAGACGCTCTCTCCGGGAGGCTACCCTCCTGCCCTCCTGGCCTCCCCTGGACTCTGCACCCCCACACTGCGCCCTGCTCCTCCAGGTGGTGAGCCCGCTTCGCTTTCCCTCACAGGCAGGCGGACCCGCTTTCTGTCCGGGTTTGCAGCACCAGGACCTCTGTGGCCTCCTGCATGGGCCTGACCAGGCAGCCTGGTCTTGCCTGGGGGCCTCTCTGCAGCCCGGTGGTGCCCGGGGGGCCTCTCTGCAGCCCGGCCATGCCCAAGAGGCTCTCTGCAGCCCGGCCATGCACGGGGTGGGGGGT